TTAATCAGATCTCTTTGGAATAAGTTCATTTTCTTTTAAAACCCAACATTCTTTTGCTTTCTTGTCATTATTTGTTAACCATGCTGCTGAGTTCTTGAACTTGTTGTCTTACCCCAGGAATATATTCTGAGCTTCTATTTACTATGCTTTTCTTACTACAATCTTTCCTGGATTTTGGAGTTTTTCTGCTTGACTTTTAGTTTTTTTACTAAGCCCCTCGTTGTATTTGACGGCATGGAATTCCTTGGCAAATTTTATTTACAGTAGGACTGCAATCAGGGGTTCTACTTGTTTCTTAATTTATCTCACTCTGCATCGAAGTTTCTCAACCTTGGCAATCTTAAGATGGATGGACTGGGGAATTCTGGGAGTTGAAGTCCACACATTTTAAAGTTGCCATAGCTGAGAAATATTCTCAGTCCTTGGTATGATTTAAAACTAAATCCAGGGTTGCCTATTCTCTGATTAGGGTGTCTAATTTAAAAAGGTGGATAGACTCAGTTGTAGTGGCAATGAATGCACCATTGGGAGACCTGAAAGAACAAGTTAAGGATAGATTATACCATGGAGAAAATCTATATGGTAGTTAGGAGTCGAAAACGACTTGATAGCGCATAATCAATCAATTTAAAAAATTCTGTGACATATTTATCCAGTCTGTGCACGGGTAATTGAGATTACTTTTTTTTTTTATATGACAATTTTCCTAAACTATACTGTTTCAAGATCGTGCTAATACACAGTCTTACTATTAAATTATCTTGATGTTGTCACCATTAGGAGAGGCTGAGTAAAATATATGTGGAACAGTCCTGACAAATGTGACTCATAACCTCATTTAAAAAAAAAAAAAAGGGCAACAGGCATAGCATTAAGCATAAATGAGCTTTTCTCTCTACCCTGATTGCTGGAATATACTTTGCATTTAGCTATTTATTATTTAGTTTAGAGGAATGGTGTGATGCCCTTCTATTGTTCCACAGTTACTCACATGAACTTGACAGAGTCTGCGTTTGAATTTCTTTAATGCCAGTGTGCCATTTCTCGACATTCAGAGTGACACTACTCCCAGTTCATCTTTTTTTGTCTTCTCTAGTCCCATTCAGGGGATACAAGCAAGCGTAGAACTCACCATGTGTGTAGTGAACAGCCTTTCCCTCTCTGAGTTGTCCTGTAAGTGAAGGGCTGATCCATGACTACATCCTGACTCTATAGCAAGGAAACCTTACCAAACTGTGCCCACAAGCACGAAACTTGCACTATCAAGGTTCAAGCTCCTTGGCTATGCTGGCAAAGAGAGTTGGCATTCAGCATCTGGAGGGTTATACATTGCTTATAATGTTACTTTTCTATCAATTACACTTATTCAGTCTCCTTTTTTATTCTGTTCAAACATTTTATTCCAATTAAGTTAGAAGAGAGTTAAGTTACTGATTTCACTTTGATTTGTCTCTAAGGATAAACACACTAAAAAAAAGTAATTGTCTATAGCACATGCCAGAATTGTCTAAAAATGTTTTCAAGCGTAATTGTTACACATTCTTGATTTTGTCATACTATAAATAGCAGAACAAAAGAACCCATGATATCCCAATAAACTCCACATGCATGAGATCATTTTCATGCCCATGACAATAACTGCACTTAGACACTGCAGAGAAGAAAATTACCAGTCATAAGACTAATTAACAGTCTCAATTAAAATTTAACACTAGCTCATTTTGAGACGACTGAACTCTCCTACAGCATTCTAGCATAAACAGTAAAGACAGGGCAGAAAGAAAGGGCCAAAATGTGACAAAAGACATGGTTCGTTCATCTACATGTGTTTCACACAGTATGACACTTTTTAATATACTTTGAGTTAAATTCATATTGAACATCAATGATGAATCTCCATTAATTGTAAGCAACCCGCCCCCATAGCCTGAGCTAATGCTGCTAGGTCAGCAATTTGCTAAACCATTTGTTGAATGTTTTCTATTCCAGTCAAAATTTGTTGCAATCAGAGCAGATTAGGAACAAGGAACAGCATGTAAACAGATCCTATCTACTTCTATAGATCTAAGTTAGGTTCTGAGTCTTGAATCTATACCCATTATTCTTTCCTGCCTGAAAAGCTGGTCAAATTTCATCAGTAAAGTATCTGCTAGTGGATACCTTTACAAAAACAGAAAATTGGCACCAGTTTATTACATTCCGTACACTTTCAGAATGACTCTGTTAAAAAAAAAAACACACTAGCTGTTTACCAATCTTTATATGTACTCTTTTGGGAGAATTGAGCAGCATAAGAATATGAATGTAAGAACAAAATGTCCATGTAATCTAGTGGCAGAGAAGGATTTGAGGATCCTGTGCTAAGGTTGAGCATATAACATTCTGTAACAATCTGGAGATTCCATATCACCCTTTTCCATAAATAAGCCAAATCTTCATCTAAAGTCATCAAAGCCAGTATCCCATTATCAAATCTCATAATAATAGGGTCTTTCTTTGCAAAGGTGCCACCAGTCACTTCCAGTGGATGAACTCCACTTTTTAAAAAACTTTAGTTTCTCTATATAGTATATAAATCGCTTCTCTCATGCACTTACCTCTCTTTTGGTCAATTTTGTTTTAATATTAAAAAAAAAAAATCACATACAGTTCAACTTTTTTTCTTAGAGAAAAGTGCTGTGACTTCTGTACCTTCTCTAGTTCTCTACTTCACCCAAGACAGGAAAAACAAAGCTACAGGCTTGCAAATATTGATATTCATATATAGACATGATTATGGTAGTGCCTTTTTAATCAATTTCATAATCTCTAGAATTTACCTTTTTTCACAATTATTTCATAGAAGCTGATTGACTGTTTATTGCAATGCCAGCATTTCCTTCTTGGCTAGATATTGCTGGTTGATGTCCCATTGGTATATATATGAAGTTTTTTCCCTCCTTGAATTCAGGTGCACTACATCTCATCTGTTATTTTGCTGTCTACTGAAAATACTTCTAAATATTCTTTGCAGGTAACTTGTCCTTTGTTTCATTGGCAGTTTAATCTCCCCCATCCAAAAGCAAGAATGTAAGCCTTCTAAATAGCAGGGCTGTTCATGCACTTTGAAAAATATACTTTTGAAACACATGTGAGCATGTAAGAAGTACCTCTTTTCAAATCACTGAAAATCAGTGAAGCAACAGTACCTCTTTTCAAATCACTGAAGCAACAGCTTCTTCTAAGCTTGCACCATTTCTATCTCTGCATGTGTATGCATGCACAGCCTCTCTCCTCCCTTCACTTAATTTTATTTCAATGTCCTTTCCCACTGTTAGGTAGCCATGCCAATGTTTCCCAAAATTGCACATGGTTCCTCAACCCCTGTAAAGTGCTGTATCCTAGAAAAGGAAGAAATAATATCCCCCTGCAGCTCAGAAGCAGATGTGCTATCATATGCAGAAGCACCTACCATCTTTAGGCAAGACTTTAATAATCTTTTTGAAGAGACAGGGAGTAGGGAGCACTTCTTTATTTCAAATAGGATTTAAAAAATGGTAC